CTTCTGAGGAGTGGCTGGTGGGTTTGAACCACCAGCCTTCTGGTTAGCAGTCAAGTGCCTTAGGCACTATGCTACCAGAGCTCCTGTTAAAGAGCATAGTTGTCACTTTAAAGACAAAGGTGTGCCTGACCCAAGCCATGGCATTCTCAATCATCTCATACACATGGGAAAGCTGGACAATGAATAAGGAAGACCAAAGAAGAACTGATGCCTCCAAATTATGGCAGTGGCAAAGAATACTGAATATACCATGGACTGCTAGAGAACCAATAACTCTATCATGGAAGAAGTATAGCCAGAATGCTCTTGGAAGACAGGATGACAAGACTTCATCTCTCGTACTTTGGTCATGTTATCAGGAGGGATCAGACCCTGGAGAAGGACATCATGCTTGCTAAAGTAGAGGGTCAGTGAAAAAAAGGCAGACCCTCAACAAGACAGAGTGACACCGCGGCTATAACTATGGGCTCAAGCATAGCAGGGATTGTGAGGATGGCACATAAAGCAGAGTGAAGAAAGAAAACTGTGTCAGAATCCATAGAGTTGCATAATACTTGTATAGTTTTTAAATATGCAAAATACCACAATATATTGTTTAAGGGTATATTACCAAAGTATAAGAAATACATGGCAACAATAAATGCCAAAATCAAGATAGTGCTTAAATTAGGGAAGGAAGCTTCCATTGTATTGGCAATGATCCATTTCTCAAGCTAGATGTTACATGAGCATACCTCCTTATAACTTTCTGTATGTCTGAAACTTCTTTTTCTTTTTTTTAATTTTATAAACTACCTTAAACCAAAAAAACTTTAAAAATGGGCAAATGATCTGAAAAGACATTTCTCCAAAGATACATATCAAATGGCCAATAAGCACATGAAAAGATGTTCGACATCATTAGCCATTAGGGAAACACAAATCCAAACTATAGCATGATACTACGTTGCTAGGATGGTTATAATTAATTAATTAATTAATAATAAGTGTATGTGAGGAGGTGAAAATGGAAAATGTTGGTGGGAATGCAAAATGGGGCAGCACTTTGAAAAACAGTTTGGCAGTTTCTCAAAAGATTAAACATAGAGTTACCACATGACTCAGCAATTCCACTCTTAGCTATACACCCAAGAGAAATAAAAACATATGTACATGTAAAAACATGTACATAAGTGTTCAAAGTAGAACAAACCCAAAAATCCATCAATGAATGGATACGAAAATGTGTTATATCCACACAATGTATATTATTTGGCCATAAAAATATATAAAGAACTGATTCATTCTACAAAATGGATGAGCCTTGAAAACATCATGTGAAGGAAAATCAGAAGACATGTTATATGATTCTATTTATATAAATTACATAGCTTCTATATATTTTATAAATTATGTAGCTATTTATATAAAGTGTCCAGAATAGACAAATCTATAGATAAAGATAGCAGATTGGTGGTTGCTAGAGGACAGGGGAATGCAAAGTGAATTTTAATGAATACAGGGTTTCTTTTTGGAGTGATGAAAATGATCAGATGGTAATGACAGTTACACAACTGTGAATATACTAAAAACTACTGAATTGTATGATTTAAAAGGGTGAATTTTAGTTTTTTTTTTTTTTTTTTAAATATCATATAACTAAAAAGCCACCTATCTCAAATAAGGGCATATTTGTAAAATTAAGCCTTAGAGAGTCAAGAAATCCAAATTAATTTGATATCTATAATATGAACATTTATGCTATTTTAGAAAAACAAATCAGAAATGACACTGTGTCAAAAGCTTAGCATTTTTTAACTTAGTCCATTTACCTGTGTACATGAGAGAGGATAGTGGGTACCGCAAGCCAAGTGCCTCTTCTGTAAAGGAATCAACAAAGTCTTCCAGCATATGAAGCCCAAAATCTTTGCCTCGGTATCTCTTTCTCACAAACATTGTATCAAGAACTGGCAACTGGTAGCTTTGGGTAAGAAATGAGGCACATATACTTCCTGCAGTCATAAGAACAGAACCAAACAATTCTTTACATTAAAAGGCCATACATACACACACACACACACACACAGAGCTAAAGAAATTTATAAGCTCTATAATATAAAAGGAGCTCTGGTGGTGTAGTGCTAAGCCATCTGACTGCTAACCAGAAGGCTGGCGGTTCAAACCCACCAGCCACACCTCGGAAGGAAGGTTGGGCAATCTACTTCCATAGTGACACTGCCTCGGAAACCCAAGGAGGGGTCACTATGAGTCGGATCTGACTCGACGGCAGTGGGCTGGGTATAATACAAAATGATTTATAATCTTTAAGACATCTAGCTGTTATCACACATCATGTCACAAGCATGTAATAATGAGAAAAGCTATATAATTTGTTTGTCAAAAGCATCACCTAATATAGAACAGAGAGCTCATTACCATTTTGTAAATTATCTCAAATATATACGTATATTTAAAAATATAAATTTATCACTGTATACTTGTACAACTTTCAAGCTCATCAACTACCACATCTTCAAATTCAAATAATATCTGATAACTAGATTACAGTTTATAATATATGAAGTATCTAATTACAACCTTGGTACCCAAACATTCAACTCTTCCCTTTACTTTTTCCTTAATGAGTCTCATTTTCATCTACCTAAGATGGCAGTGAATTAGCTCTCCGAATCCATAAGGATTATGACTAATTAGAAACATTTCTGTCTTAGAAATGGCTATGCCAGTAATCCTTTGCTGTAGATACACTCTTAAATCAATCTTGCATGTTTAAGGCTAAGCAGGAGAAATAGATGTGAAGTAGTATCTAAATTTATCTTTCTTTACAATACATCTTTGCTGATTCATATTTTTAAAACTGGCTGCATTTGTCGGTTCTGACCATCCAAACAAATATGTTAGCTCCTTTAATATGTCTTAAGATAGTTTACAAATTGAGAGCATCATGGTAGGGGTTCCTACTTTTCATTAACTTTATTATTAATTCATGGTTATCAGTCAAAATTCTACACTGTTGCCTAAATAAAACAATCTATTATTCTCAAATTATTCATATGATTTTAATTAATTCTAACAATGTACTTCAATGAAGAAATAAAATTTCAGGTAACAAACATCTTGCAAATGGACTTTTAGAAATCATACCATTCGATGAATGGATAAAAATAACAAGACTTTTTTTTAAAATTCAATCAGATACTTAGCACTATTTATTATCAAATTGGAAAATTCCATTGTTTTTTCTAACAATCTCCAAGACTACCAACTAATTTAAATTTAGAATAATGTACTTAGATCTTAATTAAATGTTGAAGTTAAATTCTTGTTGACATGCAGTTAGGATATTTCTAAGGCCGATTTCTTTTATGAGTCTAACAGGAAGTCTCACCAACAAACTAATGAAACTATTATCAGCTTTTACTGCCTTGAAATCAGGATTTTCTCATAGTAACTGTTGGTGGTTATTATGAAATTAAAAGAGACATTACTTTATAATGTCTAGTAGTAGAAGTAGTAGTTCAAAGAACAAAACAAAGATGAATGAGAAAATACTAACTAGTTTGGTTCTCAGTAAAGTTTAGAGATCTGTGATGGTTTACTACTCTTTATGCTTCACGTTTCTTACAAAAGGATAACAATTATATGGGGAAATTTCTCCCAAATTGTATTTTTCTCTGTTTTCACAGAAACATTCCTTCCAGTAGATAAAAAGTAAATTCTAGAATAATAGTGTTAAAATGCTCAATTTATGGAACTAGTAGTCTTCACAAAGTTTAAAGTTCTATTCATTTGCCATTTACACATTCATTTCAAAAGTCATGCTGATTCTTTTCCTTTGCCTACACCTTAACTACTTCTACTTCCCAGAGTTCTACCCTTACACAAACTAAAAACCAAAAGCAAACCCACTGACATCCAGTCCATTCCAACTGATAGCAACAGCCATTGAGTTTCTGATGCTGTAAATCTTTATGGAAGAAGATCGTCCCATCTTCTTTCCACGGAGTGGCTGGTGGGTTTAAACCACCAGTCTTCTGGTTAGCAGCCAATGGCCTTATCTACTATGCCACCAGAGCTCCTTACACTTACACCAAAACCCTTATACAAGCGCAATCAAATAAAGGGCAGAAAAACTTCCCATATTACTGGTCTTCAGACTTATCAATAGATGCAGAAAGTAGCACAATTACCCAAGAAAGCCCAAAACATAACCTGCTGCCTCAGTTGAAATTTTCATTAAATTAAAGCATTGCATGTAGTATCTATATTTCCATAAGTTTAGGATCCCTGGTCGGAAAAAAGGTTGGGCAATCTACTTCCATATGATACTGCCTCAGAAACCCAAGGAGGGGTCACTATGAGTTGAGTCCAACTTGACAGCATGTAACAACAACAAAATTATATGTCAGTTATACCACAATAAAGCTGAAAAATAAAAAAGACAAATAACCCAATTAAAAATGGGCAAAGATCTAAGAAGGCATTTCTCCAAAGAAAATATACAAATGGCTAATAAGCAGATGAAAAGATAATACCATCAACAATTAAGAAAATACAAATCAAAACCACAATGAGATAATGCTTAATACCCACTAAGATGGCTAGGGAAAAAAAAAAAAAAGTTAGTAATGCTGGAGAGGATGTAGAGAAATTGAGCCTCTCACGCACTGCTGCTTTGGAAATGTTTGGCAGCTACTTGAGAAGTTAAATCTAAGAGTTCCCACATGACTCACCAATTCCACTCCTAACTATGTACCCATATGTCCACACAAAAACTTCTACACAAACGTTCATAGTGGTTCTTATTCGCAGTAATAGCCAAAAAGTACAACCAATCCAAAAGTTCACTGACTGATGAGTGGATACATGAAATGTGATATATCCATACAACAGAATATTACTCAGCCATAAAAATGTAGAAGTACTGATTCATGCTACAACATGAGTGATCCTTGAAGACATTACACTAAGTTAAAGAAAACAGACACAAAAGGCCACATTATGTATGATTCCATTTATAAGGAATTTCCAGAATGTACAAATCTATAGACACAGAAAATAGATTACTGAGTGGTAGCCTAGGGGCAGAGGAATTTGGGGAGAAACAGGAAATGCCTGCTACTGGGTACAGGGATTTTTTGGGGGATGATAAAAATATTCTACCATTGGATGTAGTAATAGTTGTACAATTTGTGATTATACAAATGTTCACTGAATTATACACTAAAAATGTGTAAATAGCATACATAAATGATGCCTCAATAAAACTGTTTACAAATGTAAACAAAATAGTAACCTACACAAGTGACCCCAATAATCTATTTATAATCAAATTTTGCATGTTGTTGTTATCAGGTGCCATCGAGTCAGCTCCAACTCATAGCGACCTTATCTACAACAGAACGAAGCACTGCTCTGTCCTGTGACAGCCTCACATATAGCAGGATTGCCCTGCTATACTGGAGCCCATCGCTGCAGCCACTGTGTCAATCCATCTTGTTGAGGGCCTTCCCTTTTCTCGTTGACCCTCCATTTTACCAAGCACGACATCCTTCTCCAGAGAATGGTCCCTTCTAACAACATTACCCAAGTAGGTGAGACAAAGTCTGGCCATTCTCGCTTCCAAGGAGCATTCCGGCTGCACTTCTTCCAGGACAGATTTGTTAGTTCTTTAAGCAGTTCACTGTGTTTAAAGCATTCTTCACCAATACCACAACTCAAAAGCATCAACTCTTCTTCTGTCTTCCTTATTCATCATCCAGCTCTCAAATGCATATGAGGTGAGTGGAAATACCATGGCTTGGGTTAGGTACACCTTAGTCTTCAAAGAGACATCTTTGGTCTTTAGCACTTTAAAGAGGTCTTTTACAGCAGATTTGCCAAGTGCAATACGTCATCTGATGTCTTGACTGCTGCTTCCATTGGTGTTGACTGTAGAACCAAGTAATAGGAAATCTTTGACAACTTCAATCTTTTCTCCATTTATTGTGATGGTGCTTATTGATCCAGTTGTGAGATTTTTCATTTTCTTTATATTGAGGTGTAATCCATACTGCAGACTGTAGTCTTTAATCTTCATCAGTAAGTGCTTTAAGTCATCTTCACTTTCAACAAGCAAAGTTGTGTTGTCTGAATATTGCAGGTTGTTAATGAGTCTTCCTCCAATCCTGATGCCATGTTCTTCACATAGTCCAGCTTCTCAGATTTAATTAGCATACAGATTGAATGAGTATGGTCAAAGGATAGAATGCTGATGCATACATTTCCTGACTTTAAACCACACAATAGCCCCTTGTTCTGTTCAAACGACTGCCTTGTGGTCTACGTACAGGTTCCTCATGAGCACAATTACATATTCTAGAATTCCCATTTTTTGCAATGTTATCCATGATTTGTTATGATCCACACAGTTGAAAGCCTTTGCATAGTCAATAAAACACAGGTAAACATCTTTCTGGTATTCTTTGCTTTCAGCCAAGATCCATCTGACATCAGCAATCATATTCCTTGTTCCACATCCTTTTCTGAATCTAGCTTGGATTTTTGGTAGTTCCTTGTCGACATACTGCCGCAACCATTTTTTAATTATCTTCGGCAAAATTTTATTCTTGTATGATATTAATGAGCCGAAACCAACAGCCATGGAGTCAATTCTGACTCAGAGCAACCCCCACTGCACTTCTAAAGCTGTAAATCTTTACAGAAGTAAATTGCTTCATCTCCCTCTCATGGAGCAGCCAGGGAGTTTGAACCACTGACCTTCTGGTTAGCAGCCTAATGCCTTACCCACTACTCCACCATAGCTCCTTGACACAGACTGATAATTTCTGCTTTCTGTTGGATCACCTTTCTTTGGAATGGGCACAAATATGAATTTCTTCCAGTAAGTTGGCCAGGGTAGCTGTCTTCCAAATTTCTACTCTATAAATGACTGAGCTCCTCCAGCATTACATCCATTTGGGGAAACATCTCAATGGGTCAATTCCTGGAG